TGACCTGCTGCTTTAGCGTAATATTTAGCAGCTTGCTCATAATCTTGTTTAACATCAATATCTCCATGCTCATATTTATATCCTTTGAGAACATCAGCTGCAGCTGAATCTGTTGCCTCTGCTAAACTATGTAACATGCGCAGATTTTCTGGATTTATTCCGATTGTTTCTTGTAATGCATTCAATTGCTCAGGAACCGTTCGTGGACTAAATCGTGGATCAAGGTGTTCACAACGCATTTGCCGACCAAGTATATGACGACTTTCATCTAATGCTTTTCGTATCTCATCTTTCGTAGGTTCAAGAGCTAATGCTCGTTCAAATGAATTAACAGCTTTATCATGTTCATTTAGGGTGGCATATACTTTTCCAACGCGAAAATGACCTTTCCACCACGTTGGCCAAAGATTGCGAGCTAGTTTCGCATCTTGAAGTGCAAGATATCGTTGATCTCTTGGATCACGTATTTCAAAGATGTTTGAAATATCATTCTGCTGTTTTTCATACAATGCAAGACGACTAGATGACATATTCGAATAGAAAATTGCACGATCACGATCTAATACACCCGATAAAACGGTTGCTTTCGTAAATAATACAATAGCATCGGATAATTTTCCATCTTTATGAGCTTGTGTACCAAGTGCATTTAGACGTGCTGCTTCTTCAACATTTTCTTCATTAATCAATTGAGTACGTGCTTCAAACACACTATCATCTTTTAATTTGTCTAACTCACAGTCACTTTCACCAAATGCTACTAGAATGTTCGTTACATCAGTCCAGAGTTGACTAAATTCAGTATCATCTATAGATTTTGATGCATGATGAGCTAACTTATTTCTAATATCTCTTAATTGTTTTAAAAGTAAATCTTCATGATCGAGTTCTTGTATTTGAGCTCGACTCAATGTTTTAGGACGATCAGCATTGAGAAGAAGAGAAGTAAGTGTCGTTATATCCCATTCGTTTGAATCACCATTAGCGATAGATATTGTTTGAACCTTGGTCAAATTAAACTTCTTATTTTTTGCAATAACATTACTTAAATAATTACTTCCGCAAGTTGAGGAATCATCCCATACTTGACCACTGTTGAATAGAGAATAACGTTTTTTAAATAATTGACGAAGTATAACATACGATCGTGCTACTAAACGATCTAGTTTAAAATAGTTACGAACGTCCTTTGTTATAGTACTCATCATAAGTACTAATATGAATAAATTCGATGATAGTGTATGTTAGATATGCAATCGACGACTAATTGTAGTAATATAATATTTTATAATAAAAGTAAAATGTTTAGTTTAATTTATTTGCTCTCACACTGGAAGAATGTTGACTCACTTTGTAAAGCTTGTTGAAAAACAGATGTTCTATTAGTCTAGAATAAAAAAATAGTGAGACATAATATTTACATGGTTACTGATTATATTTATCGTTATTCTTTTTCTCATCAAGATAAAATGTTTCTTAACGAATATAAAGTTTCATAAGAACGTTTTTTCTTCATGATATAAAACTACACCTTGTGATGAAAATTAATCCATCAGCAACTAAGTGCTTGTGTTAACACAGAAGAACTAGGTTGTGAGTGTAGGTGCGGATGCGTATTCAGGAAGATACTACCCACACTGACGCCCACTTACGCCTACATCCACACCCAAAACTTCAGAAATATGAGTAGTTCATTGTTCATGAAAAGAAATTATCTCGAAAACTAGATTTGAATCAGGCATTAAAACGAATATTTTTACATAAGTAGTAAATCGATAGAGTAATAAATTGTTGACCCAATAGTTAAATAAATTGCTATTGAGCTTTAACTGTTTATTTACGGCCATTTTATTTTTGGAGAG